ACTGGCCCCTATGCGGCCGCGGACTTGGCCGCGAATGGCCGCCGTCGAGGGGGAGTCATAGAAAAGCAAGGATTTTTGGACCGTCGATCATATGATCGCTCGGGTCCAGGCGAAAAGAGACCATTATTTGCGGCCGAAAAAAGACCAGGATTTGCAGGCGAAAAGAGACCAGGATTCGCATCTCACCGGGTTGGGGCACAACTATGGACGGATGAAGTCGAGGATGTGGAAGTGCGATGACATTGAGAAGAGGCTCGTGAAGGTGGAGGTGACTACTAGGAAGGCCGAGGAATACGGAAAAAAATGGGACAACATGTACCAGCTGTTCAAATCCGTGCACAGATTTATGGGACAATCCAGGAAGCAAAATTTCTTCACACCAACGCCAGCAGAGAGGAAGGAGAAAGGKTTCGAATTTCGGATGGATGAGCGTGTGTATTCCGAGATGAACGCGATGTCGAAGGCCGATCACACTGTTCACCCGGCGAATCTCGTGGACACGGGTGCGGCTGAAGGGGTTCAGATGGCCGGGCCAGGTGGCGGTCGGAACAAATCCGTGGCTAGCGAGGGATGTGGGCCCATGGGGACAAACATGACAACGATCAGGGATCGACGAGGGATTCGACGTTCAGTGGTGGTAGTGCAGGCGGGGGCGGCGAAAGGGAGAATGTCAGACAACCGACCTTCGATGTGATCACCGACGTCATGGATACGCACGGGAAGCTGATGGCGACGACGGTGGACAGCGCAAGCAAGAGGCAGTGTTCAGTTCTGACGAGGCAATGCGACATTCTCGGGCGAGAGGTGGAGGTGCAGAAGGAGCACTACGAGAAGGCCGACGAGGCGAACCTGATGATGTGCAACGCCGTTTTGGAGATTGCATCGCACCGCAACACACCTTCATCGGCCACGTGGCAGGGGGACTGAACTTGTATCCACATGGCACCGCGGAGCGCGATAGGAAAGGGCAGGAGAGATGGCGGTCCTGGCAAGGGGGAGGAAAGGCCAGAAAGGTCGAGGCCAAGTGCCCAAGTCGAAAAGGCTGCGCATTGATGAGGCGAGCTTGGAGAATGATGACGACTTCCAATCAGAGGAAGTTGCAGTGGTGGACGTGCAAGGAACGTCGGGGAGCCAGCAATTGGGTTTTGGGCGGGACGGGGTGTCGAGGGATCAACTGACTGCTATCAAGCGCAGACGAGATACATGACAGAAGTCCCATACACAAGACAATAAAACAAACCCGTCGTTGAGAACGACACAACCAGATGCAAGAAGACGACCTTACACACAAATCCAAAAGAAAAACATATTATTGTGCTTGAGAAATCAATTCAGCGCTTTGAGAAGCGCTCGTGCAGAGCAACTAAATTTTTTAAGCACGTGCAAACATGGATAAGCACGCGAACATAAACACTGCGCCGGGCTCCCGCCCACCTACCTCCCCTACCTGACGTGGCAGACTTGCGCACCGCCCTAACCAATGCCACCCGCCACCACACCGCCTCCACTCCCCCACCCCAAGCCCCGCAAGTGCTGAAAACGCGGCAAAAAGAAAGGTATGGTGAAACCAGCAAAGAAAAGATGCAACTACAACGCGAGGAACAACGACAGTCCTCGTCACTACAAGCATCCACCCCGATGATCGACGAACGAAAAACCCTCGTTGCCATCGTCAAAAATTACGAGGACGGCCAAACAAGCCGTCCTCGGAGGAAGAAACGTCCAACACACGGCGATAGACGACAGAATACCATCAGCGCGTGAAAGTCATTGAAGCGAGCGCTCTGCATCGACGACGGCGGGACAGGACATGAACATGGTACTTTCATCGCGAGAAACAGCCAGGTCGTATCACGGATTACATGTGCTTCATTTGCTCTGCTAGAGCATTCCGAAGCGTGATCGCCTCAGTCGTGGAAGTGGAATTGTTGACTGGCTGCGGGGAAGATGAATCCCCTGATCCACTCGRTGCCGCACCCCGTTCGCGTSGACTTCCCATAGCAGATTCTCGTCGAACTCGATACCAKCATTTAAGAGAATGTTGTGTAGTATGCAGACGGTYGTGAACTGTTGCGGCAGAGTGTCTAGGTTGGTCTTGTGCGTYCGCAGGAASAGCCTCCACATCCCTTTTAACCGCCCGAAYGCCCTCTCCACAACCCCTCTTGCGTCCTTCTGCTTCGTGTCGAACCTTTCCTCGTCGGGGGGCTGATTGATTCCGCYGTACGGCACCACTACCCATTCAGAAGGAGGGTACCCGTTGTCSCCCAAGATATATCCGTTTGTTCTCACCCTGCCYGGCAGCGTGACAGGTGGCCCACGAAACAACGTTCCCTYTTCCACGCGCCGCRACATACTAGACAKCTGGATYACCCTTATGTCATGGCAACTCCCGAGATACCTAACGAACACGTCCAGAACGCACAGATCCARGTCGACCATGACCTGCACAACGACGGAGAAACGGTGTTTGCAGTCGAAGTAGTTCTCGTTGGGGGCGTTCGCTGGTTTRTCGACATAGATGTGTGTGCAATCRACAGCGCCGTGACAGTTGGGAAAACCCTTTTYCAAAAACGCCCGGAGCACGACGTGTTTCCGCACCCCCCTAGGCCAKGAAATCTTATCTGCATAGACCCTCAACAGCACAKATGTGACATTGAGCGCGCCGAGAAGTCCGAGAAGTCCAGAAGCTCGCCCTATGCCGAAATACGACGTGCTATTGTCGTATGTCTCCCCCAAAGCCCACTTGTACATTGCGTACGTGACGATCTGCCTCGGCTGCAGCAGCTCCTTGTAGAATGCGACCTGTCGTTGTAGATGTGGAGCACAGGCTTCGCTGATCTCCATGAAAACTCGCCTGGACATGCAGAGCTTTTCCCGAAAGTAGTCATCATTCGCCTCATCTCACACCCGCAAATCCTCCCAAGTGGCTTCTGTTCTCTGCTCCATCCACCAACGTGGCGTCGCCCGAGGAAGCACACCACACCCGATTGCAGCGCACAACTGAACCATGGCCTCCGAGGTGCTAATGCAGTCCATGGCGTCCACCAMCCTCTGCACCAGAAGCCTCTTCCGCCGCCTCGAAAGCGTTACCTTCATGCGCCCWRCCGCCCTCTCGACTTGCCTGCGGATCACCAYGGCGAGCGCAGCCGCCCCGACCGYTGTCTTCTCTGTCGTCGAAAACACGGCACGACGACCCTCGCCGCCACCCTCCATCGCGCCCTTCGTACTGGAAAACGAATGCCCGCCACCTGCCGCCACCACCTACACGACCACAACGATGACACACCTGCAATTCGCGATCCGCCACCCCTGCTGAGCGATGCCCTCCCCGATGGAATCTTCCGTCCGCCGCCGCCGAAGTGCTGAACCGCCACGCGCGGACACGTGCAGCGAGGATTGACCCTCTCCTGTTTGCCTCGTCGACGACACCGCAGACCGTAGCCGTGTGTTGCCACTGAAGTACGGAGGGCGATGGCATCCGTAACCAGTCCCGTACGTCGCTGGACCACGCCGTCTCCACACGGACACTGGATGCTGGACCATGGACACCTCCGCCCGCAGCCGCATATCTTCATATGAAAATGCCCGCGGGCAGGCCACAAGGAAACGTCCTCGGGGGACGTCCCCAAGGATGTGAGGAACGACGCCACCAAATTCCCTTACGAGCCACAAGGAAAATTTCTCCGATCTTGACGGCGCCACTTGTTTTATTATTTTATGTACCACACATCGTTCTGCCACTCTTTTCCTAGGGGCGCCACAGGTTCTCGCCACTTGTCCTGCACTAGCCCCCGACACTTGTCCCGTCAGTACTCGTCCCGTCCTGCCTGTGGCCCCGCCGGTGGCCCTGCTGGTGCCGCATTTTTCGCTCGATCCTACTCGGTCCCTGGTACTAGTCCCATGCTAATACCACATTTTTTTGCTTAGTTTCGAGCGGTCCCGGACACTTTGTCCTGTTGGTACCAAGTCTTTCCTTGATCTCATATGGTCCCCGACACTTTGTCCTGCCGACACCACACCGTCCCTTGGTCCCATGTGGTCCCCGACACTTTGTCCTGCCGGTACCGCATCGTCTCTTGGTCCCGTGTGGTCCCCGACACTTTGTCCTGCCGGCACCACACCTCTTCTTGCTATTCCTGACATCTTTCTGCCTCACGACAATCTCCCCTCCCTTGTTCCCTTCGCGTCCGCACACCGTTCTTTTCCGGATGCTGGTCCCAGCCTAGCCTGCGGCCTCCTTGGCCCTCTTGCTGCTATGCCCTGGTGGCCCACCTGGCCTGGCTACCATTTTCCGCGCTGGTGCTTTACGAAGTTTACGTCCTATTCCCTTCTGCCTTTTTTTCTCTTTTTGTAGCGCGCGTCCTCTGCTACTACTTTTTTCCGGCGATCCTTCTCCGTTTTCAGGGGAAGGATCGCCTTCATCATTTTCTTAAAGCCCTTTGTCACTTCCTGCTTCAACAACTCCTTCCTTGTTCGGAGGTCTCGGTGACTTCGGGCAGCCTCGAGCTCCCTAGCGCCTGCGCTCACGTCTTTGATTCTACCAGCGTCCTTTCCTCCGGTTTTCTCTACCGTGCACAAACTGGTCATATTCAGCCTCTTGAGTGACGGGAAATCATTCGGGACTCCCCAGTCCCGACATATTCCCCCCACTCATTCGCGAAGTCCTCATCGCGCACCAATTCATAGTTAGTGGGGATCTCGGAGTGATAGACAGACGAGAAGGGGGGGTAGGGTGAGGTGGGTAGTTAGCTTGCCAGGGTTCTTTTTGTCTTTTCCCATTCTTTTCTCGGGGCTTTTCTGCAATTTTCCGTCTCTTGGGGCGAAGAAGGGTATGGGGGAGTCAAGGTTCTTCTTCAACTTCTAGACCAGGTTGCTCATTTCCATCATAGCTGTGCTTCTTTATCTTTTCCTTAATCGAGACTCGAACTTCCACTTCAGTCCACCCTGTATACTCAGCAGGGAAGCCCATAATTCTTTCGGCTTTAGTATTATGGAGCAGACGAAACCCTCCTCACCCCATGCACTTAACTACTGGCATGCTGGCTTTATTCCCGGGGTGACAATTTGTTGTCATAGCACAATTGGTTTTCTCATTATATGCCTTAGCATTGTTGATCAACAATTATAGGCAAGTTTTCGGTGTGACTCAATGTCAGGCATTTGCTCCGGAAGGGGGGGTTCGCCCAGTACAACCGCCGCCTTTGTTGCGGGGCTACCCACTTCGGATCGATGAACACATGCACAACTCCCTAAATGCTTTGTAATCTCAAATCTATCTTCCCATTTCATTGAGAAAATGTTCTCGAGCAGACACCCTTTCTGTTTTGTCTCATTCATTACTCTTAGAACATCCACAAGCAATCCGCTCTTCATCTTTTCAACACATCTTCCTCTCCCCAAGGCTTAGGCTTAGCCAATTCCTCATGCATTTTCCGAGGTCGTTTTCTCAAGCTTTTCTCATGTCCTGCCAATTCCGCATGCATGTCACCCTTTTGTCCTTCCTTGCCTCTTCACTTGGTTGGCTTCCCATGTGTGATGCTTGGCTCAAGGCACCTTATCAAACCCTCTCCTCAAGCCCATGCAATATCAATCACTTATCCATTCCCAGGTTCATGCGGGGTCAATCCCAGTCATTCTGCCAGACTCTTTCCTGAGGCTCACACCAATCACTTGCCCAAGTCTTTTCTGCTCAGGGCATCTTGCCAGACCCTCTTTTCTCAGGCCTCAAGCAAGCTAATTTCAAGCATCTTTACCAGGCCCCCCCCTTTTTTCCCAGCCCTGTGCAAAGCCAATTACAGGTCTTTTTTTGTTCTGGGCATCCTGCCAGGCCCTCATGCGAAACCAATTACAAATCTTCTTTCATGCGTGTTTATTGGTTGGCTGGCACACCTTCCCCCCACTCAAAACGCGATGTCCCCATCGCGCGACTGGTTCTCACTCGGAGGTACGCAGACCTTTGACCCGCCGACCTCAAGTCGAGGACATAAGCCCATCTGCTTCACAAAAGGAAGAGTGATCAGTTCCTCCCCAGCGGACGATGCGTCATCCTTCTACCTGGTCCGACCTTTCCTCTCTTACGTGAAGAGCGCCGATACCAAGGTTCCTCCTCGCGTCTGTCAGGTAGGTCCAAACCAAGCCTGCCAGGGCCTCGTCTAGTCGTAAGAGTGTTCCTCGCGAATCGTTCCTCCCGAGTGGTAATTTTCTGGATTCCGGCCTCTTCCTTTCAAGAGAGTTGGGGCTCTCAATTAGTCCGCGAATGCAGTTCCGAAGACCTCGCAATTAGTCCCGAAACGATTGTAATGTTTCGGCAGGGCAGTGTCAATGCCCCGTGGTGGTCGCTGACTCCACCTGGTACCTCGCCCAGCCTCTCCCCTTGGACAATGCCACCCAACTTAGCGCGGGCAGCCGTGGTCCGATCCAAACGGCCATGCCACCCCTCTATGACATGGTGTGTGGTTGGAGAGTAGCAAAATAGACTAGATGAGAATGACTCTCTCGCCCATTTGACTCTCTCGCCATTTGACGTTTAGGCATTCAACAGGAGGCGCAATTTGAACTCCCCGATTACAGCTCGTTGTAGGGGGTGGTTCCAGACGGCCGTCACCGATCCAAGTGGTAGGCAGCGTTGTCGAGCCCCGGCCCCGGGGCCCCGGCGGGGGTCCAGGGGCCCGGGGGCCCGGGGCTCCACACCCCCGGCCCCGGCCAAAAAAAA